TGCAATCACAGGCGTCTTTATAAGCGAAAGAGGGAGACAGGAGAGGCAGCGTCAGAAAGAAATCTGAAGGTGCTGTGCTGCTGGCCTTGAAAAACAGGCAGAGGCCCCGCGCCAAGGAAAGCGGTTGGCTTCTAGAAGCCAGAAAAGGCCAGAAAGGTCTCCCTTGGAGCCGCTGGATGGACACAGCCCTGCTGACGTTGTTTCAGCCCAGTGAGACCCAGACTTCTGATCTCCAGAACTGTAAGCGGATGCATTTGTGTTGTTTTAAGCCACTAAGTTGTGGTAATTTTTAACAGAAGTCATAAGAAACTAGTACAGTACTTACGATATGTGTTCTATCTTTTCTGTCCAACCATAAGCTCCATTCAATTACAGGCTTCTGTATCCCTAGCATCTAGTACCCAGCATTTGTAAGCACCGGATAAATATTTGTAAATTGATTCTGCTCCATCGAAGTAAGCAGTAATGGCATTATGAGATCTCACCCAGGGGCTCCTCGTTATAATAGTCAATAAGCCCAACCAGAACGCCGGTTCATTAATTCCTTCATTTACTGTTATGTTCCTGCTGCAATGCCAGACAATTGGGATAAAAGAGTGAGCGAAACACACCTGGTTTCCCCCTTAATGATGAGACTTTATAAGCAGCGCCACCAGCTACCAGGAGCTTTCTTTTCTGTGACATGGTTGTGCCTAAGTGTCCAAAGTAATCGGATGGGGATGAAGGGGATGAAGTAATTCTTTGGTGAAAAACCGTGTTTATCTTTGCTGTCATTGGTCAAAACAAAACAGTAGATTTATAATGGGAAGGTGTGTATTAGAAAAGTTGACTGTAAGTTCAGGTGGTTACTAGAAAGTTGTCTGAGTAAGCATCGATGCCAAACAACTTGGACCGCTAGGTGTGCACCCCACCATTCTCTCCCAAAGGAAAAGAAACAGGTACAAGGTAAGGGTAACTGGCAGAGACCAGACCCAGTAACAGGCTTGTCCAGAGCTCTCTCAGGTCAAGACTTTGTATGATTGTTTTTCTCGTTTTCTGCTTCCATCAAGTAAGAAAATAAATATAAGAGATGTAGATTAGAAAAGTAATAGCATAATAGCAGTTAGAAGTATACAAATATTATATAAACAAAAATAGGAGTAAAAAACACATATTAATACAAACTTATACATGTGAAAAACATCTCTGGTAGTCTTGCTTAATATGGTAGCCTCATTTAGAATAAAACAAACAGAGAACCGAAGAGAAGAAAGTGCACTTCCTGGTCTTTGAAACCATACTGCCTTTGGCGAGGTTTAAAGTGGCCACATTAAAATAAATATATAGCCCTAATCGGTCTGGCTCAGTGGATGGAGCGTCGGCCTGCAGACTGAAAGGTCCCAGGTTCGATTCTGGTCAAGGGCATGTACCTTGGTTGTGGGAACATCCCCAGTAGGGGGTGTGCAGGAGGCAGCTGATCGATGTTTGTCTCTCATCGATGTTTCTCTCTATCCCTCTCTCTTCCTCTCTGTAAAAAAATCAATAAAATATATTTTAAAAAAATTCTGCTCCCTCAAACTGACTTTGAAATAATATTTATACATCCCCAGTAGGGTGTGCAGGAGGCAGCTATCGATGTTTATATATATATATATATATTTGACATATAGTAGGTCATGTATGATGTAATGTGTATCACCTGATATAAGAAAACTGTCACAGAGTCCCATTGGGGAGATTGTATTTGCAAAAGAGGCATTACGTACTCTGGGTAATGGTTTGCTTTTTAAAAAATTTTCATGTAAATGTATATTGCATTCAAATGAGGGAAGGGGATTCCATAATCATTAATCAGCTCTTTTTGTTTTTCCCTGAGACGTGACTTATTTTGTGACCCTGTCCCTGGGAGATAGATGAAAGTATATCTTTATTTTTAGCATTCAGTTCCCAAATCTGAACTGAAAAGCCTCCACACTACATATGGAGCAGTACAGTTCATCTGAGCGGCCCAATGCTCTGGTGAGCGAGGGGAGGGGTAGTGAAGTGAGAGAGGGGGAGCACGGTGTTCTCTGGGCTTTGTGGTCCTGTGAGCTCACCGCCCTCAGGAAAACCTTCTGAAGAGCTTAGTGCGCCCTCTACTGCCATCTGCTGTCACCGTGGCTTCCATCAAACAGCACGAACTTCATGTCTTGAATTTACAAATTAGCCCTGTTGAAAGTTTACAAACTAAGACTGAACACCTCACTTTACATAATAAATGTACCAGGAAAGTTCATTTGCTCCATCTACATCCTATCAATACTTGGTATTCAAAGTTTTAAAATTTTATCTGTTTTGGTAGTTTTGTAGTGAGTGGTATATATTTTATTTTGTCTTCTCATATAAAGGCTGTGTTCTCATACTAAGTACTTTACATGTACTTATTTGTCACTTGGAAACCCTGTATTGAGAGATGTATCTTCAGTCTCTTGCCTATTTTTCTCTTAGTTTGTCATCTTTTCCTGATTATATGAATTATTTATTCTGAATGGAAGAGCTTTGTCAGATATGTTTTTAAATATTTCTTTCTTATATTGAGGTTAATCTTTTTATTCTTATAATGGTATATTTTGATGAACAGAGTTCCTAATTTCAATGTAAATAGAAAAATTATGTTTAATGTGAAATACACATAAGTGTAAATTTAATGTAGAATGTAAACATGTAAACTTCAACTTACTAATGTTCTCTGTTAAGATTGGTCTTTTGGCCCTAGCTGGTTTGGCTCAGTGGATAGAGTGTCAGCCTGCAGACTGACGGGTCCCAGGTTCGATTCTGGTCAAGGGCACATGCCCGGGTTGCGGGCTCGATCCCCAGGAGGGGGCATGTAGGAGGCAGCCAATCAATGATTCTCTCTCATCATTGATGTTTCTATCTCTCTCTCCCTCTCCCTTCCTCTCTGAAATCAATATATATTTAAAAAAAAAGATTGGTCTTTTGGGAATCTTAAGAAATCTTGTCCTATACAACATCATAAATATATTCTATGTTATCTTCTAGAATAGCGGTTCTCAACTCGTGGGTCGCAACCCCTTTGGGGGTCGAACGACCCTTTCACAGGGGTCGCCTAAGACCATCGGAAAACACATACGTAATTACATATTGTTTTTGTGATTAATCACTATGCTTTAATTATGTTCAAGTTGTAACAATGAAATTTGGGGTCACCACAACATGAGGAACTGTATTAAAGGGTCACGGCATTAGGAAGGTTGAGAACCACTGCTCTAGGTGAATCTAGAGTTTGTTTTATCATGGGATGATTAGAGGCCCGATGCCTGAAATTCGTGCAAGGGGCTCAGCCCTTGCAGCCCTGGCTGCCTCGGCTTCATCTGGATGGTCATCTGGGGGTCATTCTGCTGTTTGGTCTAATTAGCATATTAGCTCTTTATTATATAGGATAGAGAGACTTATCCATGGTTCTAGTAATCAGTAAAGTTAGGGATACGGATGCAAAGTACAGTGAGTTGGTGCTACAGAAATAGACAAAAGATTACAAATCTAGTGGAAAGGTGGTCATGTGACCATAAAATTTAAATGATGGCAATGTGAACAAAGGAGTCAACAGTGTATGAAAATCTGAACACATTTTTCTGATTCTAACCAAAATGAAAAGTTAATTCTGTTCAAAACTAGTGCAGAATCATTTTTTTAAGTGTCTTTTCTCTGTTTTAATTTATCAGTAGGTCAATCAACTAACCTTATTTTTTTGAAATTTCCATTTGAAAACATTCACACTAATATTAACTTTGTATATGTGGAATAAGAGTTAAATTTCTTTCATATGCTTCTGTGTAGGTGGTTTTTAAAATTCTGTGCTCGTATATTTATTTATCTCTGCAGCTTTTATAAAGGGATTCTGGTAATGTCTCTCTTCAGATACTGGAGTTTCAAATACTTGACTTACTAACCCTCCCTCTTTCTCTTCAACAATTCTCAAGATTCAGGGAAATGTGTAAGATGCAACTTTGGCAATGGCTGGGGATCTCTGCCCCTATATGCTGTATTCGTCCCTAAATGCTATTTCATGAAAGACACATTAATTAAACAGGAAATAGAAACACCAAATGTTTTATTCTATACTTTTAATTCAAAAATATAAACAATATTTGCATAGCATTACATGTAAGTATTTACATAGCATTAACATAGAAGGCAGTAAGAAATGTTGGTCTGGGGATTAATGATCATTATCCTTGAAATATAAGGTACCTTTCAAGTACATAGTATAAATGAAAAAGACTGTTAAAAAGTTTAATGAAAAAAATCATATAATAAAAAATTATTAGCTACATAACTCAGAATTTACATTAAGTATATTTTGGATCCTAATAGTGTTTCCTTATTTAAAAATATAACCCCACAAGCCTACTGTCTTATGAAGACTAAGTTTGCTTTCAATAAACCACCTTGTCAACATAACATGATAAATATACAGTTTATTTATTATTTACAATCGTTAAACATATTAGAAAAGCAAAACTTTGGTAGTGCTTTTAAAATGTTAAGTAATTTAAAATGTATTAAAAAACTATATTGGGGAAAATATCACACATTATATCTTAATTAAGATAAATGACATTTCATGAAAAGAGTATATTGACCTAATAATACAGGTACACAATGGAATGAATATGTAATGTACCATGTCTTGAGATGCCTATTAGTCAAATAGTCAATTAGTCCACTGCCAAGCAGGGTGAGCAATTAAGATGAGGCAAATTGAGTCAGCAATATACAATTTAAATTTCCAAGTAAACTTAAAAATGTTTCTCAACATTTAATCATAAAATATGTAAAACAAGAAAATACTAAACTAAAAACTAGGCTTGAATTTGAAATCAAATAATTTTTTCAATGTGAGAAAATGCAGGCAAATCCAAACTTAAAAATAATCCAAGCCCTGGCTGGGTGGCTCAGTTGGTTGGAGCATTGTCCTGTACCAAAAAAAAAAAAAAAAAAAAAAAAAAAAAAAATCCAGAGACAAATGATGGGCACTGTTTTGAAATCATTAAAAAGTGTTACGCTGAAAGCAACATTTGGATTTTTTTGGCCCCATTGACAGTGCTGTCTAATCTATGAGTTGGTGAATTAAATACTACATATAATGGTAACACAGTATTTTCCATTATATCATATTATATACTTTCAGAGCAAATTATGTATCCACAAATTATAAAAATAAATCTGTAGTTTAAAAACAAATAAAAAAATAATAATTTGTATTAAAAAATATGGCAAACTAGCCTGATAATCATGACCTTTTTTGGCTATGATTATATTGAGTTTTTAAGTTATCTATTCAATAAATTAAATCAAAAACCTTTGATCCACCAATGTTTTGGATGCCAAATTCTTCTGTCCTACTATATTACGAATAAATTTAAAAACCTGGGGGGAAAAATAAAACAATTAAGAATTATAAAAATGTATATATAAAGAAAACTAAATATGCAAATCAATTATAATATCTAAATTAAACTGGCCGTGGGCTAGATCTTTAGTGTTTGCCTTTTTATTATGTTAGCATCTGGTACAGAGGGTGTATGGGACTCTAATTACTGCTCACATCTGGCACCTAGGATATGGAAAATGTAAGTGTCTTCCTACTGGATTCCTTTCACATCTGCTCAAATAACTTATGCCCTCCATAAGACCCCAGTATTTCATTGACTCGACAGAGTATAGAATGACAGTGGTTGAAATGTTATTCATTTTGGGGGTAGGGTTAATCATATTCTAAACCTTTACAAATTCCGATTGAAATCATTTTCTGCTATGAAAATAAACACATCTACTTTCAACACTTTCTTTTTAAAAAGAAACCCAGAAAAAACGTAAAACTTTACCTCTTGTTGTAGATATGTAAGGAAGGCTGCTAAAATAAAGTTTTGGCAAGCCAAGTCCACAACACAGAAGAACAGCAGATCATAAATAAGAAGAGTGGCTTCATTTCCATAATACAGAACGCTGCTGAATGAATAACCGTCATCTATTAAAAAAAAACAATTTGTAAGATATAAATTAGAAATCGAAAAAGATCAGTCAAGGAACTCTGCTCATAAAATTCAGTTTTAACATCTGCATCAAGGGTTGGTAATTGCAAGCAGTGTAAGTTTATCATCAATACCTTTCAAAGACCACGTAATGAATTATCCCTTTCTAACAAAGGCTAAAGAATCATAGAGTTAAAAAAAACACAACAAAAGCAACAAGGACTATAATTTGTGTCTCAAATAGTCCTCTCAGGTTCTGCTCTGAAACCTCTTCTCACTTCACAAGGAAAGGTTTTTCCTTTTGGAGATGTAAATGCCCTTTTAAGATTCTGATGGAAGCTACAGACCTTTCACCAAAAGGAGAAACCGGTAAGTACACACATGCGAATCCCGCACACAACATCGGGGAGGTGCAGAGACCACTGACCTGCCCATGGCACCCAGTTAGGGGCTCTTACACAAGGGACACCTGGCGTGCTGGCAATGTTCTTCTTTGTGCAGGTGCTAGTTACAGGGCTCTATTCAGTTTGTGAAAGTTCCCTGGCCTTTATGTTATATCCCTACAAAGTGTGTGCGCGCGCGTGTGTGTGTGTGTGTGTGTGTGTGTGTGTGTGTGTGTGTGTGTGTGTGTGTGTGTGTGTGTGTGTGTGTGTGTGTGTGTGTGTGTGTGTGTGTGTGTGTGTGTGTGTGTGTGTACACAATTTACAAATCAGATCTGCTTAGGACTTTTTGATGACATCCATGTTCATTTCCTTCACAGTAGTTTCCAAATTGCTCTCAACATGTATCTCTATCAGAATACAGTGCTGAGCATGCACCCCAGAGGCATATTTTATCAATCACTACTATATATTATACATTAAAAAATATATAAATTAAAAATGGAATTGCAAATATACAAATAGACATTTTAATATTTTCTTCTCACATCTCCAAGGAGCATCCTGCACACCTCCTAAGGGACAAAAATTTAAAAAAAAACAAAACTTTTTTGGAAACTGCAGGCTAGAGTAAAACTCTGAGGGTATTAGACAAAGCCTTGGGGTTGGGTCTCTGCCTCTCTCTCCCTCAAGAACTCTCTTTCTGTGTCCACTTCATACGAGGCTTCAATCATAAAGCTCTTCAGTGCATAATGCCCTTCTCCCTCTGCACAAATGCCTTGCCTCTCTTTCCTTGACCCTCCTGCTTGACAACAGCAACTTATTTTTAAGACCCAGCTCAAACTTCTCTGGCTTCACCCTGTGTCTGGTTGGATTTTCTGCTTTCCCTGCTGTATCCAGTGTAAGCTGTGCCTGCGGACATCTATTCCAGCATCTCTCCACTTCCCCATTCACAGGCCGACCTTTCCTAGTCTACTAAAGAGGCTGCTCCAGGGAGAGACCACTGTTCTGCGTGTTCCGGGACTGGGACATGTGACACTCAGTGAGGCACGGGTGAGTGTAGCTGGGCCAGGACACTGGTTATTCACAGCCCTTCTTACCAAGCCAGACAGGAGTTCACCAGTCACATTAGAGTGGCACAGACAGTAATTTTTTTAATGTTAAGAAATATGTTTAGTCACTATTCCCATCACAAATTATCTGCAATCTTTAAGAATTTGGATAAAATGAAAATTAAATGTTTCAAACCAGTCACAAATGTTATTCTTCAAGTCTTTCATAAGTTTGCTACTGAATGGACATTCCAATAAAATCTGAATTTTATTTGTTTTACTATTTCTTCTATGTGCGCCACTGCTTTTGAAATTCAGTTTTTACTTTCTTGTAGAATAATTATGTTTTATGTATTTGTTTCTAGCTACATGGCATGATAAAATAGAAATGAGAAACTACTATAATTCCATGAAGTTAACTGAAACCGTTTCTTCTTTATATAAATTTATAAAATCAAAAGAAAAATTAATAACTACAACTTTTTCTTTCAAACTTTGAAAATAGTAATCAAGTTCTGCAAAGGCAGTTGAACGATACCATTATAAAAGATGCTTTTTTCCATTGGTTCCATGAATTCTATTCCAAGAATTTTTTCAAGAAGCAATTTATCTTTTATAAAGTAGTCCATGTCCTTATGAACCTAATACAAAAAAGTCACAGTCATTTAAAAAAATAGCATTGAAATAAATGTTTCCCAATTTTTTTTTATCAAAAGAAAACAATGAATAGTACACACAGAAAATCTGTTCTTCAAAAAGACTTAATTTACTCCATTAGGCTTTATAACAAAATTCCTTTTAGGAATAATTTTTAAATGCCCTTAGTAGTCATTAGGGCAAGATATACTGACAATTAATTTTTAAGAAGTTTTTCAGGAATACAACCATAGCATAACATATTTCTATAATGAATAATATAAAAGATTTTGGTAGCTGGCTAACAAAATTCCAGTATTGACATATAGACAATATGCTAACAGACATCTAAAATTTCATTTTAGTTTTACATAATCTAAATCTATATCCTTAAGCCACATTATTAATTTTAACAGCAAGGGGACTATCCTAAATCCACCACCTTGCTTAGCTAAAGAAATAACTGATATTCTTGGTTAACTTTTAAACTGCATTTTGATTCTAGCTTAAATATAAATGCTGACATACATACATGATCGATGAAAGAGCCAAGGAATTTATTCATAGTATTATATGCCTTTATACTCTGCTCAAAAGTACTTGCTGATGAACTCAATAGTCTAGCAGGGCCATTTTTCTAATGTGAAAAGAGACAAGAATAAATGCAAATGTCTTACCTTCTTGGTATTTAAACATAAAATACTGGCAAAATGTATCTTAATTATATTGTGTACAAACCCTTGTTAGCGTCTCATGAATTCTGTCATAGTGCTGTCTCATCTGGCTAGAAATTGCAATCTGGAAAGTCTGACCCTCTGTGTTGGGCACCAAACCTCTCTGGCTACACAAGTTTTCCTGAAAAGTTAAAGGATTTAAATCAAGATCAAGATTATGAAAATTTCTCCTGTTTTAAAAAAACACACAACTTTTTTCTTTTAGTTGGTATCACATATTACAAAACTCATGATGTGACCCAACCATAAAATTATTTTCGTTGCTACTTTATTAATGTTCAGGGTAATGAGTTGGTATCCTAGCAACTTTCAAAGTAATCAATGAGGATTTAAAAAGTATATTATTACAAATCCTAGATTAAGAAAAGTGAACCTATCCTTCAACTTAAAAAGATGTAAAGTACATTCCTACCGCTTCTCTTTTCAGATTCATATTCATTTCTTCCATGTTAGTATCTGCATGCCCGTGTACTGATCTACCATGAATGTAATATCCAAAACATTTGTGGGATAACAGAAACACTGATATCTATAAAAAGAAAAGAATAAGGAGCAATTAGCAACTCATCTGCAAAGCAGTGAAAATTAACTTTTCTTAAAATTGCTTCCTTTCAAAATAATGAGGGCGGAATTCTTGGAAAATATATAAAGAAGATAAGAAGGTAATAAAGGATAGTAAGGTTATTTTTAAAAAGTAGATGGAGAAGAGATTGAAGATATTTCTAAGAAAGGAAGAAATAGGGTTGATATATGAAAACTTTTCTCAGCTGGGTGAACTATTTGGTGGCATAAGGAATTCATAATTAAGAAACTGCAAATAAAAATGAAAAAATGAAGACAGAAAATATTAACTTGTAGCTCATTACAACTATCTCTGGAATTAACAACCAGTGGAAATTAGACTAAAAATCCAATTATACCAAATCACTTTTAAAGCCTCTCTTAATGTATTCATGACCTTTAAAAAGGGAAAAATAACAGTTGCAAGATAAAGTCAGAAAGTACTTACATTGCTCATAGAGCATAAATCCACAAACTGTCGAATTTTATCTTCTATAAATCTCTCATAAAAGACAGCAAAGAACACGATCTGAAACATTAAGCCACGTTCGTGCTTATTAGCTTTTAGGATTTAATTTTCTTTTATAGTCACAGTGTAGTATCTTAAGACAAAAGAAGTTCCAACCAAGAACACAGTGGCCCTAATGGTTCTTATGGGACAAAATCCTCCTCATTTCTGATTCTTCTGTCAGATGGGACCTGAGGCTGAGAAGATTTATTTTTAGCTTCAGGTATTTCAATAAATATTTTAAAGGAACATTCACAAGGAGTATTGGCAATCTGAGTGAGTTTTAATGATATTTAAGTAATTGTTAATAAGAGGTTATATTTCAGAGGAAAAAAGAGTATTAAAGGTAAATGAGCCAAACTGTAGTTATGCATACGCTAAACAAGGAGTCCATCATCTGACTAGAAAGCTGCCGACTTCGGAAGACTTCAGAACCCCCTATTGATAAGAATGTGTCTCTGAAATCAGAATGCCTGGGCTCCAGCTGCAGCTCTGCCAAGCTCTAACTGTATCGCTTCAGGCAACTATTTAACCTTTCTGTGCCTCAGGGACCTCATCTGTAAAATGAGGTTACTCATAGACCTATCGCTGAGGGCTACTATAAAAATTTAAAAAGTTAACATGCACAATGCAATTAACACAGTGCCTGGATTATAACATTATGTAAGAATTAGTTATTAGCTATCATTGGTCTTATTGTCAGTTATCAGAATGTGGTCAATATTGGAGGATAATCAGTATGTAAACAGTTATAAATATAGAGAGGCAGTATTGCTTAAAAGTATAATCCCTTGCCCTGACCGGTTTGGCTCAGTGGATAGAGCGTCGGCCTGCGGACTGAAGGGTCCCAGGTTCGATTCTGGTCAAGGGCATGTACCTTGGTTGCGGGCACATCCCCAGTTGGGGGTGTGCAGGAGGCGGCTGGTCGATGTTTCTCTCTCATCGATGTTTCTAACTCTCTATCTCTCTCCCTTCCTCTCTGTAAAAAAAAAATAATAATAATAAAAAGTATAATCTCTTGTTACCTGTATCATTCCAATCACTAGCCAGAGAGCGGAAGACACTGCATATCTCAAAATGCGACTATAAGGAGCTATGTAGCTGGATGGGTCTCTGGAAAGACTAGAGGATGAATCCATTAATGCTAAGTTCTTAAATCCCACAACCTGTAGTGAAAAGGAAAAATAGTAATTTAAACAGACAAGAATGAAGGAAACTTCTCTAGTTTAAAAATTAAATACTCCTCCCTACTTACCTTAAAAAATGAAAATATTCAAGTTCAAACAAACAGTAGAAAATCTAGATAAAAACAATTATCTGGTATTTTTAATTACAAAACACTTAACATAAAATAGTTCATCTGGTATTTTCTTCAATACAAATAAAGGCCAAATATAACCCTATTATCATGTACACTGAAAAAGCTCAAAAATTTGTCAGAAGAATAAAACTTTCTTCAGTAAACTACCAATGAAAAACCAACATTTCATGAGATTTTAACATACACCAGACACCATGCAAAATTCTTTTTATGGTAAAGAAATCTACATGACTATTGAATCCAGTGTTTTCTCAACTTACTTGGATAGAAACTTCTTTCTCATGTAATGCCCTTTAAAGCTTTGAAAAACACTACTATAAATAATTGAGATAGTGTTCGTATGTCCTAGGGACACACATATTCTCCTAGCTTTAGAAAAGGAAAGAAAGAAGAAAGGAGGGAAAGAAGGTAAAGGGAAGGAAGGCAGACAGACAGAAGATTAATGATTCCTGAGGAAATCTGTTACCTGTATAAATAGTTTCCATATTTCAGTCCCATATTCAGTATTGAATACTTACTTTAATAATTCCAACCAGACCCATGAAATAGCTTTAAAGGGCACTGACCCATTCATTGTGTCTCGTTCAGCTCTTAACACAGAACACAGTTCATAGTAGGTGTTCAATAATAACTTGTTGGAAAATTTCAACCTTATAATAGTGGTTCTAATACAGGAGTAAGAATATGAATCACGGAGCGAAGGGACTTTTTCAAAGTACAGATACCTGGGCCTACCTCAGAGCTATTGGATCAAATATAGTCTCTAGGGGACGAGGCAAGGCATAGGTATTTGGTTAGTAAAAGCTTTCCCAGGGGATTCTGCTATAAGCCAATGGTTTAAAAGCTACTCCTTACCCAGAGCAATCAAATTTCAGAGAGACAGCCGTAACCGGTTTGGCTCAGTGGATGGAGCGTCGGCCTGCGGACTGAAGGGTCCCAGGTTCAATTCCGGTCAAGGGCATGTACCTTGGTTGCAGGCACATCCCCAGTAGGAGTTGTGCAGGAGGCAGCTGATCGATGTTTCTAACTCTCTATCTCTCTCCCTTCCTCTCTGTAAAAAATCAATAAAATATATTTTAAAAAAAATTCAGAGAGACAAAAAACAGAGTGGTGGTTTTCAGGGGCTGGAGAGGGCGAATGGGGAGTTACTAGTTAAATGGGCACAGTTTTAGTTCTGCAATATGAAAAGAGTTCTAGAAATTGTTTGCTCAACAATGTGAATGTACTTATTATTGAACTGTATACTTAAAAATGGTTGATGATAAATTTCACATTATGTATATTTTACCATGATTTTTGAAAGCCACTCCTGTGGTTTTTTGTTTGTTTTTTAATTTAATTCTCACCCAAAGAGTGAGGATACGTTTTCCATTGATTTTTAGGGAGTGGAAGGAAGGGGAAAGGGGACAGACAGAAAAACACTGAGGTGAGGAAGATACATCAATTGGTTGCCTCCCACTCGTGGCCCAACTCCACTAGTGGCCTGACTGGAGATGGGGTTTAAACCTGCAGCTGAGGCATGTGCCCTGCACCACAACCCCTCTGTCCAGGGCCGACACTCTAAGCACTGAGCCAAGCCGGCCAGGGCAAAGCCACTCCTTTTTTTAATCGTTTGAACAATATTTCCATCTTTAGAAAACTCTTCTGCTCACATGAAAACTTAGCTGGAATTAAATTAAATGAACATTTATGTGGTGCCCACAAGTTGCATACAATTATGTCAAATAGTTTATACCTCCAAAAAGAAGAGGACAGTAAGTACTTGAAAAAGTGGATTGATTTTTCTCACAGTCTGAATTTCATTCCATTCATTTGCTACAAAATATGTTCTCCATATGCTTACGGGAACGGTAGCACTCCTCACACCACCCTCACCTGGTCAGGGAGATAAAATGAGTGAAGGGGTTACTTCATCTTTGTTCTGCAAGGATAGCTAACAAGAGAATTTTGGCACAAATGGTTACGTGTTACCTTCAACAGCTTTAAGAACCTTCCCTTTAGGCCGCTCCCAATCGATAAAGAATATATCAATGGTAACCTGGGATACGAGCTTATGCAAAAACTGCAGAGCCTGAGGATGACAAACAAAACACCTAAAAGCATCCACATTAAACCTACTTATAAAACCAATACTAATTATTTTCTGTGTGTTTGTTTTTTTGTTAATCCTCGCCCGAGGATATTTTTTCCATTGATTTTTTTAGCGGGAGAGGGAGAGGGAGATGGAGAGATGAATGTAAGAGAGACACATCAATCATTTGCTTCCCATACACGCAACCGGGCCGGGGATCCAACCTGCAACCCAGGTACGTGCCCTTGTCCGGGAATCAAACCCATGACCCTTCCGTACACGGGTTGACACTCTAACCACTTAGCAACACCAGCCAGGGCACCGATACTAATTCATTAGAAGCAAATATACTGCAATCCTAAGAACATATAATTTTCATAAGTGACAAAGTTGTAATACCATCAGAAGTCACTAGAAGTTCATAAAGTAACATGGAACCACCTAATTCACAGAAATTTTATACACATATTATTTCGTCTTCCCTTCTTCCATCTTTGTTTGCAATAAGAGTATGAAAAAAGGAGATACACTGCCTCTCCTATACATGGGCCTTGCGTAATTGGCTCTCTTTTCCAAGGTTTCCAGAAATAGACTTTGTTTTCTAGATAATCTGACTTCTTTATAAGTGAAGATATTTTCCCACTGTAATTTGCTTGTTCTAATTAAAGTGTTCAGATATTTTCATAGTCCTTTTTTTTTCTCTATTTCTTGTATTGAGATTTCTGATTTTAAAAAAATGTGTGGCTGAGACACATATTTTTCATTTATAGAAAGTAATATGTTTAAAATGAGGCATTCTTCCTAGTTGATGTGTTATTAATTAAAGGATAAAAATCTAAGTATGGGATGATTCCTCTCCTCAGGGAGGTCACAGTAAGTGGGAAAAGCAGTTACTAATCACCGTACAACGAGATGAGATCTACCACAGAGGCATGCAAAGAGCTTCACATACATTGACAAACAATGACCTGAGGAGAAGGGATGCTACAGGAAGAGGAGGAAAGGACTACAGAGACAGAAAACAAATTCTAAGATTTCAGTACCTTTTACTTTGAATTTACAGAAACAAAATTCATGCCTGAAGGCATTTTGTCCCTGTTGTGAGTGCATCATCAGACTTTAAAGAAGAAAGTCATAAAATGAAATATTATTTTATCAAATTAGCTACAACTCATTTAATTCAAACATATTTATGGCTCCCTAGAAAGTTACTCAAACCAGATTTTCAAAATGAGCTATTATCCATAAAAGTAGTATAGCCCTAACCAGTTTGGCTCAATGGATAGTGTGTCAGCCTGCAGACTAAAGGGTCCCAGGTTCTATTCTGGTCAAGGGCACATGCCTGGGTTGCGAGCTCAATCCCCAGTAGAGGGCGGGCAGGAGGCAGCCAATCAATGATCCTCTCATCATTGATGTTCCTATCTCTCTCTCTCCCTCTCCCTTCCTCTCTGAAATTAATAAAAATACATTTTTAAAAAAAAGTAGACTTCCTGTGTAAAACAGTAACTCATGCTTTCTTTCAAAATCAAACTAAATTCCAAAGATTTTGAAAGTACAGTCAAACCTCGGTTCTCGGAGTAAATATTCATCTTGAACAATCGGTTCTCGACCAAGTTGTTTTAAAAAAAAAGTCTCAGTTGTTGAACAAAACTTCTGTTCTCTACCTGTAAACCCTTTCATGTTGATACCTGTAAGGGTTCACACGTCTCCCAGGTGACAAAGGCGAGAATGCACGAATATGAGTCCATTTACCACTAAACCTTCCCTTGTTAACATCTCAGGAAATTGTGCTGTGAATATTTCAGTGGGGCATTTTGGGGTTTTTTTTTGCTTTTGTTGCTGCTTATTATTATTAAATACATACAGTAAGTCATCATGGGTCCTAAAAAGTTTAGTGACAACAGCAAAGTGAAAAGGAAAGCTGTGAGAATAATGATGGAGCTTAAAAAAGAAATAATTGCAAAGTATGATAGAACTGTTTTGCATGTCTGATCTGGCTACCGACTATGGCATGGTGAAATTCATGATTAGCACAATTATAAAACATAAAGAGGCCATTAAGAATGCTGATGTCTCTAAGGGTGTGAAAGTGCTCACAAAACAAAGATCACAGGCAACTGAAAAAGGTTAAAACGTGGAATTATTTGGGAAACTGGAATGGATTAATTTAATCTATATTCTTTCTAATGGAAAAAAATGATTCCGTTTTCAATCAAATCGCTCCTTGAACAGCCTTCTGAAATGAATGAAGCTTGAGAACCACGGCTCCACTGTACTTTAATTTTAAAGACTTACAAGTGTATTAGCAGACCTTTTACATTTTTTACCCTGTCCTTTGAAACATACCTTCAGAGCAAAAGCACATCCCACAAAAGTACCAAAACGTTCTTCCTGAGTCGGTGTTGGTAGAAACACAGAGACAGCCTTCTGTGCCTGTGACAAAAATTACACCAGTAAATACAAGCACAGACGGCTTTTACTAAGCATACTTTCTAACCCGAAGAAAGCATAAGGAGGAAGGCGGTAATGCTCGCAATAAACACAGCATACTCAGTGCTTGTAATCAGAAATCCTCCCAAATAAAAATAGCTCCTTTAGAACGAGCACTTACCAGTCAGTCATTGGCATTCAGGTTAAATTCAGCAACTCACTTACTTTGAAGAAAATAAGCCAATAAAGACCCGTTGCCACAGTGATGATAACAAATACATTGGTCAGATCACCAGCGTAGTACACCATGAATCTCATAACTGTCTGCAATTTAAAAAGAATGACAGCTATTATAGACTCAGTGCAGTTATACTACCACTTTGAATAACATATTCTGTACCAGTTTCTCAAGCTGGCAGCCTTGTTGCATGTATGCATGGATCAGTTAGCAAGACCAGCTGCGGCCACTCCTAGATACCCTTGGGTCCTTACCTTTGGTCCCATTCCCGATAGCCCATTTTATTCCACCCTCCTCCTCTTTCACCACCTGAGGCAGAACCGCTTCCTAATTTTCTCCCAGTTTGGAGCCCTTCTCCTCGTCTATCCTCCACACGACCGCCAGAGTCAGCTTCCTCAAGTGCAAATTGGACCGACTGTCACTCTTCACCAGTGACTCTTCACTGCAATATAAATTCCTAACCTACAAGGTCCTTCACAACCTAGACCCAAACGAACTTTTTTAGCTCCATCTGCCAGTGCTGGCCGTTTAATGATTTGCCACCCCACACTTTCATCTCAGATATTTTGTGGAATGAAATGGGTACTGTTTCATCACAAATTCTTCCCTTATTCTCTCTGGTAAACTCTGCGAGCTCTGAGGGCAGAGGCCATGTCTGTCCTTGCTCACTGCCACTTGCCCTCGCACCTGGTAGAGGGCCAGGCACCCAGCAGTGGCCCCGGTGACGGCTTGTGGAAATCACAGATAAAAATACTCCAGCTTACACCCCACCTCTCTGGGAAGCCTTTCCTGACCATCCCAAATGTAAGTCAAAGCCCCTCCCCTGGTCCCTTGGCCTGTTTGCTTTGGAGTCACAAAGATATCCCAGCACAAACAAGTTACTACGTTGCTTTTTTATGTTCTTAATCAGCTAGATGGAAGTACCACCTATTACTGAGTTGCTATAAAAATTAAGTGAGTATACAATTCATTTAATGTCTGCCAAAATTTCCTCTGTGGAAAATGGGAATAGTCATACCCAACTTCATACAGCTATTGTGAGGATTAAATGAATTATACATGTAAAGTTTAAAAAAGTGCCTGGCACATGGTAAATATTCAATAAATGATAGACAAAAATTAAAACAAAATCTATTTTAAAAAAGAACCAAAACTGCAAAGTTAAAAGAATAAAACATGGGAGAAAATATTTTTGAACTTGAGATGGGAAAGGCTTTCTTAAGCAAGATCTTAAAAGCAAAATATATTGTAATATGAAAAACTATTCAGATGTGACAATATCAAATTAAGAGTTTCTGTTAAACACAGGAACACATAGATAAATAACAGATGGGTTATTTCTTCTCCAATAACACTTGGAGAAGAAATTTCAACATGAAAAACCAAAAGGCGTTTCATATTTAGAAAATACAAAAAACAACCACCCACCTTTAAATAAATAAGAACAATTGCAAGTCTAGTAGAAAAACGGGAAAACCCAAATGATTCATGAAGCATGTGAAGAGTAATCAGAGAAATAAAAATTGAATCAACAATGACATACTCCTTACACCCCCAGGTTGGCAAGGAATGGAAAGGCTGGAAAAATACCAAGTGCTGGCGAGGACGTGAGGAGGCAACAGCAGCGCTGAGGGGGGATGCAGACTGGAGTGCAGCAACGTGGGAGGGGAAGGAGGTATGCTTCTACCCAGAGAAACTCCAGGCAGACTTTTTACTCATCCACTAGCTGTGTCTTATCAGAAGAACATACAATGGTCAAAGATAAAAAAGTACTTAAGACCTCCTGAGACCATACCTGTAGGTCAATCATAGGACTCCCAATGCGCCTCTTCCACCCCGCCGTCTTCAAAAGAGATGTTAAAACAGCGAGCCCACCCAACACACCCAAAGCAATCTAAGGACAGAAAAGACAGTTTAGGGATTTATGTAATTTCCCTCATCAGTGTTCAAAAAGAACACTATAAAGTCTAAAAGTACTAAAAAAATGGTGGTGGATGGTATGTTCCAAGAACATAGGAGCCAAATTGAAGGCAGGCAGGGCTGAGAGACCCCCCCCCCCCCCCCCCAGTGGCCACATCTGGAACAAATTGAGCAAGAAAATAGTGATGGACTACAATCACAAGAATAAATAGGTATCCACTAGTCCTTACTGATTTAAATAAATAAATAAATGTGGGCAAAAGAACAGCTCGTCTTTATAGGATTTCAATTGACAAATATAGAAGAAACGACGGAAACAGAAAATCATCACACAGATACCACAGTAATACTTTTTTACAGGCAAGAATTGTCAATAGATGCTAAAATTAGAGGTCAAAAGAATAATAACTGTGATATCTGCATAATCTCAAATTATCTCTCCCCAAGATATTTATTAGTTACAAATGGTAAAATACAGTAGAGAACTCTGCAGATAATCATCTTAGTCATATGATCAAAGTTAATGTCAATAATAAGACATATGCACATCAAATATTTTCTGACATGATTCACTGAGAAGGGCATAGCATCATTTCTGTAGTATCTGTTCTAAAACTACATTTAATCATGGGAAGATATCAGATAAGCCCAATTAAGAGCCATAATAATTCAAAAATGGTAGGGTCAGGCATTAAAGACAAAGAACAACTAAAGAACTGTCACAGATCAAAGGAGAAGATGGATAAAACAATGTGCAACCCTGGAATGCATCCTAAACAAAAAAAGAATAGTAAAAAAAATGTGAAATTCAAAGATTAGTTAATAGGCTCCTATCAATATTAATTTCCTGGTTATGATCGCTGTACTAGAGTTATGTAAGATGTTCATATTAAGGGGAGGCTAGGTGAAGGATATAATTCTAACCTATTTTGACAACTTTCCTGTCCATCTAAATTTTTTTATCTACAAAATATACTGTAAATATTTCAACAGGTTAGAATAAACTCACATCTGTCTGGATACGCGCTTCTTCTTGATTCATTTCATATTCGACAGAGAAAGAAACCTGATATTTAAAATAAAGCAAATTAGCCATACTGAAATTATATAACACAAATCTACTTTTACTATAAAAATACATTTGTAGCTGGATTTTACCATAAATGCCATATTTTTTAATTATCAGTACTTACTAGAGTTGACCCTAACTTATACATAAATGGATATGCTTTGGGGAATTATTCATGCTGCTTAAATATTCCTTTTGGACACACATTCAGGAAAGGGGGTTTCATTAGAAGCTAGGTTAGTTCATTAACAGCAGTCAGTCCAAACTAATCGTATTTCATTTTCTGATAGGTTTCTGTAACTGAGAAATGTGACAGAACTTACAGTATCAAGAATTTAGCAACTGGCTAAACAATCACATCCTAAGCAGGCAGATGAAACAAAGGGTTGAACAAGAATCTTAGGGATACCTCTGCATTAAGGGACAGGAAGAGAAAGAAGAACCGGTAAAAGATAAGAGAAACAGTATTGTGAGAGATAGGAGAGGCAAGATACGTAAGTCTTACCATGGTCAGGGAGTTTCAGGAACAAGAGTTCAGTGTCAAATGTCTAAGTGTCAAGTTAAAGAAATAAAGCCATTGTATGTGAAATTCATTGCAGACCTTCATGGAAAGAGTTTTTTCAAAGGATCAAAATGGCCCATTTGTTTATTTTTTCCTTTGTTTCTCTTGCTATAGGCAATGTATTGGGTGAAAATTCTGCTATGTGAGATGTCTGATATTTTTCTGCCTATATTTTCTTCTAGGATTTTTATGGTTGCTCGACTTACATTTAAGTCTTTAATCCATTTTGAGTTTATTCTTGTGTATGGTGTAAGTTGGTGGTCTAGTTTCATTTTTTTGCGTGTACCTGTCCAATTTATTGAAGAGACTGTCTTTACTCTATTGTATGCTCTTGCCTCTATTGTCAAGTGCTGAGCATAATGGTTTGGGTTGATTTCTGGGTTCTCTGATCTACATGCCTGTTCTCATGTTGTTTTTATTAGAGTGGCTTGCAAATGATGAAAGAGTAAATGGTTGGAAAATCAAGGAAAGATATACAATAGCAAGCTGAAAAGCTAACAAAATTAAGGAAGCCTTTTATTGTTTTGTGTATTTTAGTTTGCTTTTAAGATGGGGCAACCTGAAAGGTGTTATAAGCAAAAGAAAGGGACTAACAGAAGCTGTTTGAATAAGGGGCTGGGGTGAAACAGAACACTGGAGAAAGCCTGTAAACAAATACAAGTACATTAGCTGAAGAAAGGAGGAAGGATCTTTTCTTTTTCCCTTAGAAATAGGAATGAGAGACAGGAAGGACAAGGAAACACTGGAGTATTAAAGAGGAAATTCATACTGAATAGTCTCGATCCTCATAAAATATGAGGGAAGGTTATTTGCTGTTGGTGAGAGCAGAGATGTAGCTGAATGCTGAAAACTAATGTAGAATTTTTTAACAGCTGTCATAAGAAGTTAAGAAATGATGAAAGAACTGTATATTCTACAATTAGAATGAATTTGAGGTGGACTTTGTCAGTACAGTTTTGATTCTCTCAACTCTCTTACTTCCCCATTTGTCAAGACTTAGTTTGGAATATTTTAGACAAGAAAAGTATGTGAAGAAAAGATCCCAAAATGTTTTATGTTAAAATAAATATACTCATACTCTTGGTTACCCAAGAATTATCACTCCAGGAAATTCTAAACCGAGCAGTCTTTTGTTACTAAGCATGCTTCTGGATTTTCTCCTTCTCTTATTACAGTGTATGTAAGCCAAGACAATGAAAACGGATTTTAACATTGGATTAGGTAATACAAATGAGGAAGTAAATCTTTTAGAGAAAAGCTATGTTATGTGCCTTCTTTTTGCTTAATGAAAGCCTAAATCCAATAGTACCTGAGTACAAGTACCAGCACAACAGGGAGGCCAAAAGCACTGGCTGAAGAAGCTAGAACATTACAATTCAGAAAAGTAAAACAGTGGAAATTAAAAGCTACTCGTGAGTCTTGGAGGTAAGAGATGCTTCTCCCCCCATTTTTCATGTTTTTAGAGAGGCAAGGGGATGACCACGTAACCTCTCTGAGGAAAAAGCAGAGAAGGATCACCTTTGGCTTGAGTCTCCATCCTCTCTCACTTACCCCTCTTCAAAGCAGAAATGCCTTATCTACTGGAGAGGAGGCACTGAGCATGGATGGCCCAGCCTTTTCCAGGCTCATTCTCTCTGGTGTAGCCTGTTGTCAGGGTGTACACGGTCTCTCTCCCATCTACAGACCCTGCCAAGCAGGGGAGGCCCTTAGTTCCGCGGCGAAATTTAATTGAGTTGGGGAAGTAGTAGGAAGCCAACTTGGCTGCAGGTCCAAGCTGCATTCTCTAGTTCATTTGAGCACTAGGGATAAAGTTGATCACTGGAATCTCTTTCTGCCCGTTGAAGTGTGTCTTCAAGTGGGCAAGACTACCCACTGTAAAGTCTGAGTTCCTGGTTTAATTGGAAAAGAAGACAGAATCTTTTATTTTATTAATTTTTGATTTTGAGAGAAACATCGATTTGTTGTTCCACTTATTTATGCCTCCACTGGCTGGTTTTTGTAGGCCGGGGCAAGGAGAAGACGAAATCTTAACAGCAGCAAGGTGGCCAAAGAGAATGAGCAGCAGACTCCGCATCTCAGCCTGCCTCAATATCCTGACAGGGATGCCCAGCTGGTGGTGTCAATGTCTACAAAAACCTTAGTCTTGCCTTTTTAATACTCAGGATCCATAAGAACTCACCTTGGACCATCATTAGTAAAAACCAATTAACACTTGACTATATAAAGAGCAGTGTTTATGTAAAACTTGAAAAAGGACTAACTGTCCTTTGACTGTAATGTGAACTGTATCCCATATGAATGCATATAGAGGCACTGATTCGTAAAGAATTCACCTTCACAAGCTGGCTGGTGGGATCTTTGACATCAATGTCACTGTAGCCAATGGTAATTAAGGGAGGGTAGATGTTTCCTTTTTTTGTGTTGGGTACAAGGTGGATGCTGTTTAAAAGAAAATACATTTCTCGTTATAAGTACATCTAGGCCCTTAAACATATATTTGACTTATCATTTATCGTTTCTTTTGAACTTAACATGGACAATTTTGGTAATCTCAGAACCAACCAGTTAATAAAGACTAGGGAAAATTAAACATAAACTAGTAGTAATAACACAAGCTATCATAAGTAGTTAAAACTTTAATATGAAAATAAACCCTCTGAACCCTGGGCAGTGTGGCTAAGTTGGTTGGAGCGTTGTCCTGTACTGGTATACCAGAAGGTCGCGCATTTGATTCCTGGTCAGGGCACATACCTAGGCTGCAGGTTCTATCCCCGGTCAGAGCATTACAGGAGGCAACTGATTGATGTATCTCTCTCACATCAATGTTTCTCCCTTCCTCCCTCCCTCCCTCTCTTTTTCCCTCTCTAAAATTAAAGAAAGAAATAAACCCTCTGAGACAAATTAGAAACTCTTCTTGATATAGGTCCTATGAAATTTACAAATAAAATCACTGAAATATTGTGAACCATTTTTGAGAAATATTCAAATAAGTGGTACATAAGCCCTAGAGAAAGGTGGATAAATCCTAATGTTCAATGAATTCTTAACAAAACAACATATCAGCTCTAGTACTGTTTATGGCACATAGTAGGGTACATTTTGCTGAATTCAATGCATCAGTAATATACAGCTTGTAAACTCAAAAAGGAAACTGCCAAGCTCCAGGGGCCAGCATGGTTTTACTAAAATCAAATCAAGCCTAACTAGGTTTGATTTCATTTTTACTAGGGATACATTAGGAGGTTGAGGGAATACTAAAAACACTGTATATTTAGATTTCAGAGAGATACAAGACAAAGTTTCTGTACTGCCTATCTCATAAGATTGCTATGAAAATCAAAATAAAATAGCAGTGAAAAAAATAATATATACTGAAGTGCAGACTAATGTAAGATGATAGTGCTGATTTTCATCAGCGTATTTAGGAACGCATCATAAAATATTGGAATGGAAAAGGTGTTTAAGGTCTTCGAGACAGTAATCTCACACTGGAAAAGCGGGAAATGAGGGCTGCATGGTGAAGTAATTGGGTCGTCCTAAAAGTAGCCAAAAAAGGGGGATGAAGATATGCCTACTGCCATCACCTGGCAGGCTCTTTCTAACATACCCATTTCAGCCCACTAATACCCACCCTGCCCTCCACCTCTCCACCCACTCTCATTCAGCAGGTCTAGAGGGAGGCCTTACAGAACGTGAATTCTGATAAAGCTCTACGAGCTCTTGTGGTCATCCTCCTCTTGGCTCCTCGCCTCTGTTGGCCTAAACCAATCTACTGCACAGATATCTAAAATAACCTTAGGTCTTGTTTCAGTTCAGTTGTCCTTATAGTTTTCATTTGATAACTACTGGTAAACATGTTCTTTTATGACATTTTGCTTTATGCTTCAAGCCTAATTTAGTGCATCAGACATTTGTTTACCTCAGTGATATCCGTGTAGCAATTCGAATTAATCTTGGCTGACTTCCTAAGTCATTTTCTCGTCCACTTAGTGCATCCACTAAGAAAATGCGCCGAGTCAGAAGCCACTTGCCAGAGTTACTGTCTTTTATTATAAAGAGAAAAAAAAAATGGCATTAAAAAAGTACCTTCAAATGGTTCCAGATCTGCCCCGCTGGTGAGGCGCAACGGTTGAGTTTTGACCCAGGAACCAAGAGGTTGCTGGTTTGATTCCCGGTCAGGGCACATGCCTAGGTTGCGAGCTCAATCCCCACTGGAGGGCGTGCAGGAGGCAGCCGATCAATGATTCTCTCTCATCATTGATGTTTCTCTCTCTCTCTCTCTCTCTCTCTCTCTCCCTTCTCTCTGAAATCAATAAAAAATGTTTTTAAAAAATTGCCATCTTTAAAAAGATGGCTCTCAAGGAGAAGCTTACTGAATAAATTTAACACACAAAGTTAGTACATTTTGTTTTAGATAAAATTGTTGCAAACACACACACAAAACACACCTATTGTAAGAAATTCCTACTAGATTTTTCTACCTCATTTGAATGTTTTCTGATTGTTTGGACTTTTCATCAGTTTGGAAGAACTGTCCCTGCAAATTACCTGAATAAGCAGAATTTTATAATATGGGAAACAATGAAAGAAATGAATTTGTCCCAAAAGCAGCTTCAGGACACCTTGAAGAAGCCCAGTTCTATTACCTTTTTCTCAGGACACACTTTTAGCAATAATATAATTTCTTAACAATAAGCCTGACACATTTTGTAAAATTTTCTAAATATACCAGCAATCTAATTGTTTCACTTTTTAGCATGCTATGTCAAACCAAAAAATAAGAGAGAACCTATGACCTTTCTTATAATTCGTGGTATATTAAGTTATCAGGTTGGTTGACCTATTTATTGAGTTCAGCTCAGAGAAAGAATGGTATAAATGGATGTCTTACCTTGGTTCACAAATATTTTATTGTGTTGAAGATTTAGGTTTAACACAGGCAGAGCCCAAATATATTGGTGTTGATTTTCATCGGTATATTCAAGGTATAAATCATAAAATATAGGAGTGGGAAAGTCAGTTAAGATCTTAGAGACAGGAATCACACACTGGAAAATAAAAATAAAAGCATCCAAACTGAATATTACAAAGCATATTTATTATCTTTAAAAGACTGGTTTTTAAAAAATTTTTATAAAATAAAGTATATTTAAATTACCTTGTCTATGTGCATTTCCTTGTGCCTTCCAAAACATGAAGATATAAATATGATTTTTTAAAAATAAGGGCCAAAAAACCCCACAAAACTAACAGTAAAGAACTGCCTGGCTCTTGTCCTACAACCCAGCTATAGAGGATATGCCTTCATTCTCAACATTAAAGGTACAGCAGAGAAAAGGGATGAGGTCCTGATTCTTTTTCCTGATGTGCAATGCTGTCTGTGATTTGGCTCCCCTTAACAAAGCCAGGCTCATTTCTCACTGCTCCCTACCAGTTTCTAGTCCATTCATACTAATCAGCTTGCTGTTCCTAAATATGCTAGGCTACTCTCTGTCTCTATCGTTGCAAATGTTGCTTCTGCCTGATAGTCCCTTCCCCACTATGTTCTCCTAGAAAACTCATATTCATTCTACAAGCCCAAGTATGAAGCCCTTCTCTACTCCCTCAGGAACTGCCAACGATGTACCTTGTCCATACCTATCAACACTTACCATATTCTTTGCAAGTTTCTGTCTATATAGCTGTTTTCTCTACTACTCTGTGAAGTACTTGAGAGGCAGTCAAGTTCAATGGAAAAACCACAACTGTTTAACTTAACAGAACATTAGCTACACAATTTACTTGATGCAAGACCTTAAGTAAATTACCTAACCTCACAGAGCACCATTTCCTCTCTGTGAAGCACAGATAATAATTATCTCACATAGGTATTTCATGGATCAGATAACAATGATAAAATGCTGAACACACAGCAGCAGGCATTTAACAAGTATTGATTCTTCTGGCCGTGGTAGACACATTTATTTTTCTTTTTTTGGGGAAATAATATATGACATTTCTGATAATAAAAGTGAATTCATATACGTGATAGAAAATTTGCAAAATATAAAAAAGAAAGGCACATGTAATCCTATCATACAGACATAACCACATTAAAAATGTTTCTTTTCTTCCAGTGTTTTCTATGATAGATTTCTCATCATGGCTTTACCAAAACTGGAATCACAGTTTTGTTTTATGCTGTATGTATATGCATTTAATCAAGAAGTATTTTTGTAAACTACTGAATGTTTAATGGTTCATAATATTCCTTTGTACAATGCTGTTATTTCAAAATGGATTATGAAAAGAAGAAAGGTCAGGGAAGGAAGGAGAAGGAAAAGATTAAAAAAAGCATTTTATTTGTTACTGGGAGGGTGAGAGGGAGGAGTGAGTAACATTTTTATTAGTCACTAAAAACAAAGTAACAATTTTATTTTATTCCAAAACTCTCAGAAGTACACTTTGTTTTGAAGACCTATATGCCTAGAAGCGAATCAACAACTGATTATTAAAATCTAACATTATATGATGTATAAAACTCTGTGGAGGACAAGGTACTCTCTTCACGCTAATTAAGATTTTCTGTACCCAGGTAATAAAAAAATGTCAATCAGTGAAGTTCTTCATTACTATTAAAAACATTTCCAATTTCAAACATTCAAAGATGATTCCAATTATGCTAATGTGAAAATGAAACTAAAATACAGGCTGTTTAAATAAATAAATATAAATAAATAAAATAAAATACAGACTGTTTAACGCAGTTCAAACGTAAACTTACGTCTTGTCGATAGGTTGTTCCAAAAGAATACGCTGCATTTAACCTTGTTTCTGTGTCTGGACAAAGCTACAGCAAAAGAATACAACTGATAAGTATCTCTCATAAATGTTTTCTTGGATTGTAGTCAACAATTCTCAAATCCAAGCTGATCTCCATATAAAGTATTACACTTTATATAATCCTTACCTAATGTATTAAAGGTATAAAAGAAGGAAAAAAGTTAAATGAAAGTCCTAACAAGGTGCTTTTGAGAAATTCCAATTTAAAGCACAAGAAAAAATCAACTGTAGCATGCAACTGATACTCCATTATTCAAGCAATAAACTAATCTTTTCCTCAGGCAAAAATAAGGCACTTAAGTAATTCTTTAGCTAGGATCATGCTGACCTGTAAAACACCACCTTCTAAAGTTTGCCACTTGAGAAAATTTCCTCTTACATCATAGGAAGCAGCAACAAACTTCATTTGTGTATTCTGATTAAAGAAAAATAAGAATAAAATAATGTCACATACTCTAAAAGCAATATAAACTTCTATATATAAAAGGCTAAGTGACCAGCCATACGTCCATCTGACCGTCCGACCGACTGGCCAGCCGGTACATATGACGCACATGGCAATTTAAAAATAAATGCTGACTTGCACATGCGCGATGCATATAAAGCTCTTGCGCCAATCTAGGCAGAGTAGGCATATTCTTACCTGAACCCATTTTTGGACATGGTCAGTTATATGTTGCTTTCTCTCGAGTTCAAAGAGCATGTGGCTTTAGTTAAAGTTGTAAATACTTCATCACAAGGGAAATTAGTCAAGCACTCTGAAAGTGTTTTTCCTCTTAATGTGGTATAGAGGGAGATATTAGAATAAGTTTAATCAATTTATCAGTCATTGTTTTTATCAGTGTTGTTTTTATGTCATGTTTTTGTTATCTCATGTTATTTCTTCTTTCAATGTGCACAAATCCATGCACTGGGCCACTAATATTCTATAAAGAAATTGTTATTGATGACTGACTGATCTTTTCTTTTTCCAGAGATCAAATATTAAAAAAGATAACTTCAAAGGAGGAAGTTGGAGAGCCCCATTATGAAATAAGCAGCAGGATTTCCATGACTGTGTTTCATAAATTTCTAAGTGGATATGGATTTCATCTCCAAAAGAATTAACAAATAGCCTTTTTCTCATTTTCGAAATTTAGGTCACTCATTCTTTATGTACTAAAAACTGCCAAAATAGAGGAGAGGTGAGCAGAGGAAGAAAACTTAGAAGGGAATCAAGTTCCAAGGAAGAAATTGGAAAGTAATAAAATAAAGCAATGAGAAAAAAAAAGTCATTTTCTGTGTCTCTGTGAAAAAGATTGGAGAGTGGTAACATATTGGCTAGATGGGGTTCTCATAGAATTTAAAAGCATACTAACGTAGTAAAAATAAGTACATGTGAGATGAAACCAGGATCTCTGTATTCTCTGAAGAAATAAATTATTACATCTCAACTCTGGGTGAGGGTCTAGTAGACTTCAGCATCAGGTAGAAACATGTCCTCTGCCTCCTCGCCAGTCCAATTCCCTATCTTTTCCCTGACACCCCGCTTCCTTTTATACCCTACATCCATACCCCTAGCTTGTGGAGCTTTCAGTCACTGTTCTAATGCATTCCATGAAGGCAAATTAAAACCACCTGTTTGAAGGAACTGTTCTCTCCTCCCCTTTAAGGTAATATCTGCATTAAGTTTATTATAAACTAAAATACTTTGGCTTCAAAATCTGAATTTCTGATTTAGATTCCAGATAGATTATTTAATTTATTTTCTTAAAATATAGATTTTCTTAATAGTAGTCATGCTCTTGAAAATGATATGGTCACTTTCAGTTCATATATTCAGTATTTTTGCTACTTCATTTAGAAAACAAGTAACAATCTATGAAAATATAATAAAATTTAAGAAAAAATGATCTCTTGCAATTTATTACTGAATGAACTCCTATTGTGTATGTGTGCAATATAGAAAGGTGGATTTGGGGGGAAATGAATAAATAAATAGGTGGAGATTTCCTGGTTTCCAATCTGAATTTTCTATTAAGAAGAAGAAAAATTGACGCCTACGAGGAACACATGAACATTTATTTGTGTGTGTTTATTTATTTTTAATTGAATTTATTAGAGTGACATCTATATATATAAAAGGCTAATGTGCAAAGTGTCCCCTTGGGAGTTTGACCAGGAGACTGGGAGTTTGATGGCTCGCTATGACGTGTGCTGACCACCAGGGGGTAGTGCGGAATGAAGGAAGGCCCCAGCTGGCAGCTGGCAGCTGGGGAAGGGAGACCCTGGCTGGTAGCCAGGCCTAGGGACCTTACCTGTGCACGAATTTCGTGCACCGGGCCTCTAGTGTGTATATATGTGTGTATGTGTGTATGTGTGTGTGTGTGTGTGTGTGTATATATATATTAAGTAATTTGTTCTATAAATAATAAAATAAGATCATTTGTTGAGCCCCTCAATCTTCTTTCTCACTTTTCCCCATCAGAAAAAGGAAACCCCATTTTTACAGTTATTCACATCAAAACACTAGAGTGATCTTCTTTTTTCCCTTCCCATATCCAAATCATTAGTAAATCATGCCGGCTCAATCTCCAAAATAAAAGCAGAAGTATATCATTTTCACAGTACCATCCTTGTTCCTTACTCGGATTACCCTAATACTCTCCTAACTGGTCTCCCAGCTTCTGTCCTTGCCCCAACCAAATCTGCTCTCCATGCTATAGCAGTCCTTTTAAAACCCGACGTTCAATCATGTCTTCCTTTGCAGGAAATCCTTATCTCCCTTACAGTAAACCCCAGATCCTTGCCATAGCCACTCCTAGCATCCCTGAACTCACTTCTCCACTTCCCCTGCTCTCTCTGCTCCTGCCACTCCAGCCTCTTTCCTGTATCTTAAGCATGAACAAGCCAGATAACTCCTGCTTTGGGACCTCAGTATCTGCATGATCTTTGCATAGAACATTCTTCACTTTACGTGGTTCACTCTCACTTCCTTCAGATCTCCACTCAAATATCACCTTTTCAAAGATGCCTGTCCTGATCACCCTATATAAAATAGCACCCTCTTCCATTCTCAACATGCTTTATCCTGATTTATTTGTCTTCATAGCACTTAGTATCACCTGACATTTTTAAATGTCTTTTTCTGAAATACATAACCTGATTTCAGAACAGGGCTGGGAACAGAGTAGGTCATCAATAAACATTTACTAAATGACTGTATGAATCAGTTTCAGCTGAATAAGCTTAGAGACATTCATTCAATCTTATATAACAAAATATAAAATTAATATCATTTTCTTTATATATTCTCATTCAATCCACTAGAAAGGGTTTATTCTTCTAATAGTCAAAGAGATAAATCTACTTAGAAAACTTTTGTGATCTGAGGGGGAAAAAAGTGTCATTCTTCAAAATTATATACAATTATCTTTTAAAAATTCAAACTTACCCAACAAGCAGCTGCTGATGAATGCAAATACCTTGCAAACCATTCTGAAGTGATGGACATGCCCTGCAAACAAAAACATGAATTTGAATTTTAAATTCAAATAAAAATTCCTTAATACTACAATGTTAGGAAGATGTTAATATGCATATTGTTGAATGCAAAAAGACTAACATGACTTTCTCAATGTGATCAAAAACATAGATTCTAATGGGAATATAAGAATTAATTCTAGCCCTGGTCGGTGTGGCTCAGTTGGTTAGAGCGTTGTCCTATGCACTTGGTCAGGGAACATGCCTAGGTTGCCAACTCCATCCCCAGCAGGGGGCGTACCAGAGGCAGACAATCGATGTTTCTCAAGGCAGTATTTCTTTCTCTCTCTCTCTCTCTCTCTCTCTATATATATATATATATATGTATATATATATCATAAAATGTATTTTTTTAAAATAAGGTTTCACTACCTTCAAAATGAGATGTGGCTAGGGGAAGAGAGAGATTGTTTCTTCTCTCTCCTCTCTCTCTCTCTCTCTCTCTCTCTCTCTCTATATATATATATATATATGTATATATATATCATAAAATGTATTTTTTTAAAATAAGGTTTCACTACCTTCAAAATGAGAGATTAAAAAGAACTCCAAGGTATCCCTTTGGAATTAAACTCCTATTTAATACTAGAGGCCTGATGCACGAAATTCATGCATGGATAGTGTCCCTAGGCCTGGCCGGCAATCAGGGCCCATCTGTGGGGTGACAGGAGGTGGGGAGGATGGTACGATCGGGGCCCCCCACTGGCACCCGCCTTGGCCGGCCTGGCGCTGCCCGCTTCTGCTGGCATACTGGGTATCCTCCATGCTTTAACTAACTCCCAGTCAGTCATCTAACTCCTATTCTCTTGGATTTGTGACGTCTTCAGTTCCAATTCATTCATACTTCCCATTTTCCATCCCAGATGTTGGCATCACTAGGATCTGTTGCAAAAGCTGTAACTCTATGCCACCATGCCCTCACCTATAAATAAGGAACCTGGCTGGATATGAATAATCCTCATTTCTCCAGTGACTACCATGTACAGGCACTGTGAGGTAGGTGTTATTATTATGCCCAATTTCCAGGCAATGAAACTGAAGTTTAGAAATGTTAACTAAATCCAAAGATACAAAGCAGATGACTGGTAAATCCAGAGTTGAAATCTAGTCTCTGGTGCTCCTAATTAAATTATACTGCATTCTTTACATGACCTATAATGGACCTTTCAGCCTAAACATTCTGAGATTCACTGAAAAAGGAATGAGCCGAAGTGGAGAAGACAGGAACTGAACTTATAAAGTATAATGCTGAGTTGTTAGTCTGTTTCTTAGACTGATAATTTCTGTTTTAAAGTGATTTACAGTCCTAGCTGGTTTAGCTCAGTGCATAGAGAGTCGGCCTGCGGACTGAAGGGTCCCAGGTTCAGTTCTGGTCAAGGGGACATGCTCGGGTTGCAGGCTCGATCCTCAGTGGGGAGCGTGCGAAAGGCAGCCAATCAATGATTCTCTCTCATCATTGATGTTTCTATCTCTCTCACCCTCTCTCTTCCTCTCTGAAATCAATAAAAGATATTTTTTAAAAAATAAAGTGATTTACACCTATGTTCCTTATTTTAATCCCAAATTAATTACCAAAGAAATGCAGAAATATTCTTAACAATGAAACAAAAAATTTAAACATACTCACAAGCTCTCCATAACGTGCAGGTGAAATCATAGGTGGAGGAAAATTCCCTGTGCTGCTGAAACATAAGCCCCCTGTCTAAAAAATGAATGAACAAATGAATAAATAAATAAAACAGTTTTTGGAACAGTATAAGCAATTTAATTTTAAAATATATACTTTATCAATTTGATTAGCCTTACTAAAGTGTTAGGTTCTAAACACGCACAGGACCTGCTGGTATTAATGAATGTTGGCTCACATCGGACACACCTGTCAATATAACAAAAATAATATTTAAAATGTCAATGAATTATGCTAAACCTGAATTTAATCAAGAACTTGTCTTCCTAAAAACTAGATTAGATTCATTCAGCTAAGCAATTACTTGTAATAAGAAAACAAATTAAAAATATTAACACTGAATTGAATAGTTTTATCCCACTCTTAGTAATACAAGGCAAGGTATAAATAAATAAAATTAACCAGTAATACGAGTGTATTCTTTTGAAACCATATGGGATGTAAGGAATAAATAATACTGAATAGCAAAGATGGATAAATCACTCAATTAACAAACGAGCTCAACAAACTCATATAAATGAAACCCAATCCATTTTTATAAGTGCTTATATCAAATATACTTTCCCTATTTTATCTGCCACAAAGCAAAAAAGTAACATGCTGAAAAGAAACATGTATCTACCACTTGTCAAACTTACAACCAACAATTTTAAAGTCTATTCATCATTGTTTATTTTAGGAAAACATATTTTTCATTAATGAACAATATATAGGGACAGAGGGCATTAAACTAGTGGGAACACTGATGGTTTTAGATGGATATTTATTACTTGCAAGATAGAGCAGGTAGGAGGAGGGGCTCGGGGGTGGCACAGAACTCTAACTAGGCTTAGAGAGGTGTTGGAGGGGAGGATCTGAGGACCCGCCCAGTAGTCCGTATTTGGGTGCTACAATGCAGGGCAGCCTGAAAGAAAAGATGATCCAACACTAAGTATCCCCAGAAGAAGCTGCTCAAGTATTTTCTATCTTGAACTTGACAATTGAACTGAAAACTGTACTTAAAGGGGAGTAACCTCTAAAACTGAAGAAACTGAAATAGGAATAATGTGTTTGAGTTAGAGAGAGGGAGTGGTGTGTGTGCATGCATGCTTGGTGTGTACATATGCATGCACAAAGGGGGAACAGGAAGTGATAGAGAAGAGGGCTACAAGAGTGTAACTAAATTATTATATTTATCATTACATTTATTCATATGTTTTCTTATGTAACATAATATATGAAGCACAGTACCTGGTCTATAGTAAGTACGATGTAAATATAAGTTACTATTATATATTGTAAAGGGTGTCCCAAAATTCACGCAAGAAGTAATTTTGATAGAAAACACAGGTTTACAATTAAAGATTGTAAATTTTTTATTGATTCATAAAGTATACAGTATAGGGTTATGTATGGAATAGCACATCGGGTAAATGGCCTCCACGGCTTTGCTGGCACATACGCAAAGCCGTGGTCTTCATTGGTCTTCATTGTCCCTGCTCCTGGGCCAGAATTGGTATTTGGTAATGCTTAAATAATTGAAGGGATTGAAATCAAAGGGCAACAGATATTAGAGTCTGATTCAATACACCAAGTAAAATTAGGCTTTTATTTTTTGTTGTTGTTGTTGTTAATGCTCACACAAAATTCAAATCTTGTGTGAATTTTGGGACACCCTTTATTACAGATACATACAAATTACATAATAATAAACAAAAGTAGCTAATGTGCACTTACTCTGGAGCACCATGCAAAGAACTTAACATATTTATTTCTAAGCTGTGATAACAGCCTATGAAGTGGGGGGGAGGGACCACTCTAAAGCAAGGAGACTGACCTATTGAGCTATCCAGGGTCGAACAACTGATAAGAGACAACATATGAACCCTATTCTGTCTCATTCTCTAGGCCTCAGCTTCTTTAGCTATTAATGTCTATTTCTATCTTTCCTTGGGTTATTGTGAGGAGCAAATGATATGGGAAAGTACTTTTAAAAGGTACAGAATCTGCATAAGTATAAAATGATGTTAATGCAGTCGGCACGCAGCACAATGCTTACCTGTTTCCTAAGGCATTTGCTACTGTAAAAGAGTTTTCCGTTCCATCACAGAGCTTACAAGTTGCTTGAGACAACAACGCTCCATTTATATCCCTTTCCACTAAAATATAAAAGCAAAATTCAGATGTAATTCATAGTCAATATCTAAGCTTGTACATACTTATTACATCTCACTTGCAATTCTAATAATTCTCAAAACATTATTTGCATTAAAGGCATGTTAAGCACCTCAATTACATTGAAAAGTGAAATCCTCCCCCATTCACATAAAAAAATACAAAAATGAATTCTCCAAATCCTCATAACAATAAATTAATATTTTTTCTTGAAAAATTTCCTTACCTCTTTACCTGTATGTTCCTGCTACACTGAGAATGGGGAAACAAGCATTTTTACAGACTGCTGCTAAGTTTCTGCCACTTAGAGGGCTCTTGATAGTATCTATTAAAATTTTAAATTCACATACCCTACAACACTACAATTTCATGTTTAGAGACCTAACCTACTAAAACATATATACATACGTATGAGGGTATTCATCGAAGCATTGTATTTGTTAGAAAACAACCTAACATGTGGTCTATCTTTATGAACGAATCATGTGCACTTGAGAAGAACGTATATTCTGCAGCTTTGGGGTGAAATGTTCTATAAATGTCAATTAAGTCCATTTGATCCAGTGTGTCCTTTAGAGTCACTATTTCCTTGTTAATTTTCTTGTCTGGACTATCTATTCAGTGAAATTAGTGGGTGTTAAAGTCCCCTAGTATGATTATTGTTGTCGATCTCTCCCTTAAAATCCTCTAGAAGTTTTTTTATATATTTAGGTGCTCCTATATTGGGTGCATATATGTTTACCAGCGTTATATCCTCTTGTATCATTGATCCCTTTGGTATTATGTAGTGATCTTTGTTGTCTCTTGTGATGGCCGTCATTTTGAAGTCTAGTTTGTCAGAGGTGAGTATTGCTACCCCAGCTTTTTTTTTTTTTCCCATTTGCTGGGGTCCTGACATTAAGAGGAATGCTTATTATTTTTCCTTATTAAGCATCATGTTGGCTTTTGAGTTGAAACTTGTATTTTACTAGAGACCCGGTGCACAAAAATTTGTGCACTCGGCGGGGAAGGGGGGGTCCCTCAGCCCGGCCTGTGCCCTCTCGCAGTCTGGGACCCCTCGGGAGATAACGACCTGCTGGCTTAGGCCTGCTCCCGGGTGGCAGAGGGCAGATCACCCATAGAGCAGGGCCGATCAGGGGGTTGGTGTGCTGCACCCTGTCAAACACAGAGCCGCAGGGCAATCAGGGGATTGGGGAGCTCCCCCCTATCAGGCACAGAGCAGGGCAGATCAGGGGGTTGGGGTGCCTTCCCCTGTCATGAACAGAGCAGGGCAGATAGGGAGGTTGTGGCCCTGCCCCCTGTCAAACACAGAGCCGCAGGGCAATCAGGGGATTGGGGAGCTCCCCCCTATCAGGCACAGAGCAGGGCAGATCAGGGGGTTGGGGTGCCTTCCCCTGTCATGAACAGAGCAGGGCGGATAGGGAGGTTGTGGCCCCGCCCCCTGTCACACACAGAGCTGCAGGGCGATCAGGGGGTTTGGGCGCTGCCCCCTGTCATGCTGATCCCGGTGCCGGGAGCCTCGCTGCTCCGCTGATCCCGGTGCTGGGAGGCATATTACCCTTTTACTATATAGGATAGAGGCCTGGGGGCTGGCTGGTTTGCCCTGAAGGGTGTCCTGGATCAGGGTGGGGGTCCCCACTGGGGTGCCTGGCCAGCCTGGATGAGGGGATGATGGCTGTTTGCAGCTGGTCACACCCCCTTCAGGGTGGGGGTCCCCACTGGGGTGCCTGGCCAGTCTGGGTGAGGGGCTGAGGGCTGCTTTCAGGCTGGCGGTTGTTGACTGAAGCTCCTAACCGCTCCTTTTTTTTCTCTTTTTTTATTTTATTCTGGGCCAGCTTTAGCTCTGGCTCTAGCTCTGAGGCTTCGTATCTGGTTTGTTTGCCGTTCTATAATCGAAACAATGTATAACTTCAGCTCTGAGATCCCGGCAGGCTGAAAGCTGGTTTCTGGAGTTTTGTTTAGCTTCTTATTTGCAACATAGTACATAGTTGCTTAGAGTTGCAACTCAGAGGCCGGCAAGTTAGGCGGGGAACGTTGGCGTCTGCAGTCACTGGAGCAAGTGAGCCTCCCTGCTTGCTTCCAGCTGCCTGGCTGCCGGCTGCCATCTTGGCTGACAGTTAATTTGCATAAGGATATGCTGATTAGCCAATGGGAAGGGTAGCGGTCGTACGCCAATTACCATGTTTCTCTTTTATTAGTGTAGATCATATTATATTATGGAAGTATCCATCTAATCCTGCATTGTTAAGAATTATTAAAAATCAGATAGGGCTTTTTATCTTCTTCCTAATGCCTGCTGCTGTTTCAAACATCATTAAATTTTGAAAAAGAGTAATAAAGAAATTGTTAAGAAATCACCATGCTATTTCAATTAATGCCCTTATTAAACACAAATAAAGATGTGTTACTATTTCATAAGAAATCTACTTCTTACCTAAAATATGGCCAGGGGGACAGTGGCATTTTCCTTCTGCAGTCAAACCACCAGGGCAAGAAATGCAGTTCCAGCCATCTTTGGTAACACCTTTCTAAATTAAAAAGAAATTATTTTCTCCTTCTTAACTTCTTCCTCCTTTTGATCATGTAAGTCCAAAAGCCACAATACTGTATAATTTGTAGTTTTTATTCACATACATAATATACATATAGGCCTCCTAAAAATTTCCTGTGTAGCCAATTTGTGTTTATATTCCAAAATTAAGATATACATTTATAACCATGTATTGGCTACTATTAACTTTGGGCAATAGTTCTTTCTTCTTCATGATTTTCAGTTCAAATGAGTCCTTGCTTTTTAATTAATACTGTCATTCAGTTTTTTCATTTACAAAGATAAAACAACATTCAACAGAATTTGATAAATAGCCAATTAAGTTTAGTCTTACTTGTCGTAAAATAATTATTCTAATCTCTAATAATCCAAATACATTAGCTTTTAAAAATTAAGTTATGATTCAAAATAGGCTAATGTTATGGTATATAAGTGATATGTAAACAAAGTTGTTAAAATTAAATTATGAGGATATTTCCTTCCATCCATTAATAGTTAGTATCAGTAAAATATGACATCATTCAAAATTGGGCTTATTACATGATTTAGAAAAAATATGAGACAAAAGTACAGTAATTACATTACAAACATGAATTTAGCCTAAATTAATAGAGAACAATGGCAATAAAAAAACAATGCCACAGATTATTTTAAATTTGGGTTGAAAAACTGGATATATCAATAAGTGATTCTATATTTGGCAGCACATTTATATAAGACTACTTAAAAATTATGACTTCTTAGTAATGTCATTGAAAAACAAATCTCCTTTAGCATCATTTCCTAATAGTGGCTATTTATCATAAGGTCAATATTTCCAAAAGTAAAAAATAAATTTCGAAATGACCATCAAATCTATAAGTACTAGCCATAAAGTAGGACAACTGGTAACTGTGTATTATATTCCCAAATTCAAGTGGTTTTTTTTATCACAGATAATGAGAAGATATATTATTAGAAAAGTCAGAACTGGCACACAGAAACTCTTAATTATCCTAAATGATTGAAAATATATTCCTGTTAAGAATCATCATATATAATAACTGTTAGCTTCCTAATTTTCCAAAAACCCTACATAATAAAAGCATAGTATGCAAACTGTCCCCTTGACTGGGAGTTTGACCAGGGGGTGGAGCCGATGAGAAGATATATTATTAGAAAAGTCAGAACTGGCACACAGAAACTCTTAATTATCCTAAATGATTGAAAATATATTCCTGTTAAGAATCATCATATATAATAACTGTTAGCTTCCTAATTTTCCAAAAACCCTACATAATAAAAGCATAGTATGCAAACTGTCCCCTTGACTGGGAGTTTGACCAGGGGGTGGGGCCGGCCGGCAGCAGGTGGCCAGGGGAAGGGAGGGAGGCTCCAGCCAGCCACCGCAAGCTGCTAGGGGCCCTACCAGTGCACGAATTTCGTACACTGGGCCTCTAGTTATGATATAATGAAATGACTAAGAGAATAGTACGGATATTATTTAACCTATTTAACGATGCAAATTGGCATTTCATGAACTTACCGATGTAATATCATTACAAACATAAATTATTACATAAAACGTTGAAATATAGGTCTAAGACACCAAACTCAATTTGTACCAAAGGATACACATATTCCAAATTGCTGCATATATGTATCATTCATTTATTTTTCTCTATAACTGAATTACTCTATGAGGAAAAGTAAAAACACACCATTTTTGTGAGAGTTTTTTATTTCAAATTTTTAAAAAGTAAAGCAATAGATTCCCATGTACTCCAAGTTTGCATAAAATTTTACCAATCTCCCAAAATTTACTCTAATAAAAAAAAAAAAGTTAGCTTTATAATGTTAAAGGTTGTGGGGAAATAGTAGTGTACAGTATTAAATGGTAGTTTACAAAATACATTTAATTTACTACTTTCACAGTAAAATTATTTAAAGATAAATACTCCATACCTTGTCTTCTGGGCACTTTTTACAAATAATATCAGCTCCTCCATTATTAGAGTTCATCTGAAATCCTGGTAGACACACACATGAAGTTCCTAAAAAGAAGAGAGCCAACTGTGACCTTGGTAAATAAAAACATAACTCCAAGACAGGGAAACTTTTAATAATTCTTAAGATCTAGAGAAGTAGTATAGTAGTTTAGAGCAAGACTCTGGCACCAGTACTGCCTAGGTTCAAATCCAGAAACACACTCCTTGGGTTCTAATCTTGAGCAAGTTACTGAACTTTTCTGTGCTCTGGCTTCCACCTTGGTGAAGTGGAAAAAAACAATACTCCCCTCATAGGGTTAATATGAATATTAAATTAGTTATTATATGTAAAGGTCTTAGAATGTGTGGGGCATACAGTAGGTATGGTGTTCGCTACCATTTTTAGTGCAAGCATAATAAATTATTGAACTATTAAACTAATAATATTGACTGATATGGAAATTTCACATTTCTGTTTCACCCAAACATACACACATATCCAATAAATTTAAATTTACTTTGTCAAAACAAAACCTTATTAGAAAAGTTACTTTCATTCCTATAAATTATCATATTCTTCTGTTTGCACAGACAGTAAACATTACAGGATAATCTCTATTCAATTTGCTGGTAAGGACATCATTCTCTAAAGAAGCCTGAAGTGGAAACAGCACCTATAGGAATCTTTGTACTAGAATGCATATATCCGGGTTCATAATTATGAAACTAACACCAGACATTCTAGAGTCTGTGAAATTCTTTCTCATTCATATACTCTCGCCGGAGGGGCCTGACCTGTCCTATATAATGACTTAAACGAGGATATGTCAACTTTGAAGATGGCAGAAATTTAATACCATGGATGACCAAATCGAGATTGAAAACATCTTAGACTTTTCAATCTTGATTTGGTCACCCAAAATAGATCCAGATACAAAGAAGCATGGAACAGACTGACAAATTTCAGAGGGAAGGTAGGGACAGATTAATTGGGGAACTTATGATGTATATATATCCATAGCCCATGAAGACATAGTGTGGTGAAGGCGAGGGAGGGGCAGGTGTGGGGTGGAGGAGGTGATAAAAGGGGGAGATATCTGTAATACTTTCAACAGTAAAGGTAAATTAAAAAACAAACAACAAAAACACACCCAAAAAACATCTTAGACTTTAGAACATAGGAAAAGTCTTATTCTAAGCCAGTGGTTCTCAACCTTCCTAGTGCCGTGACCCTTTAATACAGTTCCTCATGTTGTGGTGACCCCCAACCATAAAATTATTTTCGTTGCTACGTCATAACTGTAACTTTGCTACTGTTATGAATCGTCATGTAAATATCTGATATGCAGGATGTATTTTCATTGTTACAAATTGAACATAATTAAAGCATAGTGGTTAATCACAAAAACAATATGTAATTATATATGTGTTTTCTGATGGTCTTGGGCAACCCCTGAGAAAGGTCGTTCGACCCCCAAAGGGGTCGCGACCCACAGGTTGGCGTCCCACAGGTTGAGAACCGCTGTAGCAGTTTCCGTGAAGAGAACCAGGACCAAATGATGGATGTTTCAAGCCAAAAAAATAAATAAATAAAAATTAGGCTTAATTTAAAGAGGCTTTAAGGTCAATTAGTAATATTCAATAACAAAAGGAATAAGTCCTAAGGAAATCTATAATATTATAGACACATGCTCTAGTGGAAATACAGAGGTCCAGGCTCAGGGCAGAGACACATGCTCTTCCAGTCCCCAATTTCGGTGGCAAAGAGGACATTACAGCCTCACCTGGGCTTCCATGTCCTTATCTGTACAGTGAGGAGACGGGACCTGCGGGAGTGCCAGGTCCCTTCCAGCTCTAAGGTCTGGCTTTTGAAGAGTAAGATAAACGGTGGTCCCAGTCCCAAGGGCTCATTTGCATTCCCTCCCAAACCTGTCCTGTCGCCTGCTCCTCTGAACCTCAGATGGCTTCTCCATGTTTTCTCCCTGCGCTAGGCAGCTTTCTGGGTGCTCCCTAAAGACCCTTCGGCGGAGGAAGGGGGGGACACTGGCGCCGAGTAGCGGACTCGGGGTCCCCCAAACTGCAATCCTCCAAGGAAATCCCCCCTGGAGTTGGCGGTTAACTGTCCAGAAAGACTCTTCCCGCCGACGGAAAGGTGTTGCAGCGACGTCGGGGACCGGGAGCAGCCGGCGGCCGGGGTGGGCGCGGG